TATATATATATATATACACATACACAATGTCAGACTCCATGTCTTTCTAAGGAAATGTTTCTTCCAAAACACATATATAGAGGGCAAAACTTACACAGTCTAAAATCCAGAGAACTTCCTCCCTTTAAATCCCCCTATCTGTTCCCAAAGGCCACTACATTAAACATTTTTAGAATACTGGTCTAAATAACAGAACTGACCGAACATGTTTTTATTTTGAGATGTCGCTCAATTCCTCCAGGTAAGAGGAACAGTTGTCTCTTGGAGCTTCTCCCGGCCTGGGGGGGGGGGGAAAAGAAACATATCAGAAGTTATATAGATAAATAATACATTCATAGTGGGAGATCAATGTCAGCCTTGTGCAGGTTTTCTTTATTTTGAATAGGGCCCATGCTCCCGGACAGGTATACTCTTCACTTACCACCATGGCTTTGAGTTCCATAGCACTGGGGAATTCACAGCGCCCTCCATACAACAAGGTTTTGCGCAGATTCTGCTCACAGGCTTTTGCTATCCCTGTTAAACCAAAAAAGAAGGGACATGAATGCTCATGAAGCACATTGCCATGGTATACTCAGCCTAGTATTTACAAGGACATTGAACAAGGTCAAGTGTCCAGACCTTTGTTCCTCTTCTCAGGTCTTCTGGTTACCTTGGAAGTGCAGCCCGGGGCTTCTGCACGTGTCCTGAAGGAACTTGAACAGGTACAGTTTTAGGACCTCTGAACACCTGTGATAAGCTGTAAGGATGTATAGAAGCCTCCAGCCTCTCTGACAGCTGTCCCTATAAAGGCAACAAAAGGGTTGGTTGTAATTTACTACAAAAACCAACTAAAAGGGTACAGTATACAAATGCTGGTAGAGTCATCCTCTCCATTTTGGGTTTCCCATCACTTCCTGTCCTGGTGACAATGGTCACCAGGACAGGAAGTGGTGAGAAACCCAAAATGTTATTGTCACCAGAAAAGGAGGTGAGGGGAAATCTTTCAAAAGGGGAGACCTGTTCCAGTGACAGCTAAGTGTGAATTTCCCCTCACTTAGGAATTTTGTACTCACCATAAAATCCTTTTCTAGGAGTTCATTGAGGGACACAACTTGATGATAATAAGCAACCTAGGAGGCAGTTTAGCACAGCTTATCATCATCAAGTTGTACCCCTCAATGGACACTAAAGAAAGAGGTTTTGGTTTTAGATCAATGTTAAAATAACTGACAGCATAATATTTACACCTTATGCGGTGACCTCTATTTTCATCTATTGTGTAAGGGGGTTACTTACGTCTTAGTGCTGGAGTTCTCCGTGATCTGCTTTATGATCTGACAGTAGCTCTCGTCCTTCAGCACCTCGTGTTCCCCGCATATCTGCAAAAGACACATGACAGACAGCCGGTGAATGTCTTCATTCTCTCAGTATAATGCCCGTTCAGAGGCATGCCTAAAAGCCTCACCCCTCCTGGTAAATATCTGAACAAAGAGTCCTTGTATGTTATACAAAACCAATTGATGGCCCTGGTCAGAGCTGGAACAGGGGTGTGTTTTCCGTAGGGCCATTGCTGATAGAGACAAAATATCTGAACCCCTTAATTCCTTCAAGGATTCGTGTCAGGTTGGCTCATGTAGAAAAGACTGAACACCTGCCGGCAGGGTATGTAACACCATACATGGGTGGGATGCAGATCTACAGATTTCCCTTACTCCACAGCGAATTGATAGGATGTCACACCGAGTACATACTTCCACAATAGCAAACAGACATCAGGAACTCTTATACCGATGGTGCAGAATCCTAAGCACGACTTAGGACTAAAATATAACCACAGGTTGGCCACCACCACAGATGGTGACCATATCCAGCTCAGACTGACCCTTCAGAAGAGCATCCCCCATGAACCTCATTACAGCTGCAGGCAAAGAGAAGTTCAAACTACAGCTCCATACAGTTTTATCAAACATGTGACAACCAGAGCCTGGTACCTTGCTACACATTTTGTGGAGCTGTCCCTATTGGTCTGAGGTCCAGAAGTTAATTTAAAATTTCACCTCAGTAGATCTAGACCAAAATCCAAGGGGGTACCTGCTTCCCCTGAACCAGATACCGATTAAATGAAACAAGTCCTCAATAACGGATCAGAGGTATGCTTTCTCCATTTCTAAAAGTAGACCCATCACAAACCTGGGCAATCCAACCCAAGCCTATGATGGAAAATTTATAAGCGGAGGTAACCTTCAGTGAAGGTGACATTTTAGAACAATCAGCAGCTCAAGAAATATAGACAGTTACATTTATAATCTCCAATGTTTTCCTGTAATAGTTGAGCTCAGCCCCACCACTGTCCACCTTCTAAGACTCCATGTTGGCAATTTAATGATATGGCCCCACCACTGTGCAGCTTCTAAGACTCCATGTAGGCCCTTTAATGATATGGCTGACCTCGCTGACCATAAGTAGGCTTGGGAAGCAGAAGGGCTGGAGCCCTACTTGACTTTACAGGAAATAATTGAGATTCATATTCAGCTGCCTATATCCTTGGGTTTACTGATGGCAAGTTTTTTTCACTTAAGAAAACCTTTTCCTATACATTTTCTATCACATGCTCAGTCTGAATTGACCAGGTTTATGACAGGTTGATTTTCGAATTCAACCAGCCTCTCAAATAATAGATAAGAGGAGGCAAAAAGAGGTGCAAACTGAAAGTAATGTGCTTGCCCTATGAGTATACCAGGGGTAGTTATGACTGGGCCTCCTGACCTTACGTGTCCTGCATCTGTAACCTCCTGTAGTTACATAATTTATCAGTGTCCACATAGTCCCAGGGACAATGAAACCCTTTCTAGTCACACCGCTGGTGCCCAACCTACGGCCCCAGGGCCACATGCGGCCCTGCGGTACTTATACTGCAGCTGTACAGCGGACATCAGCAGTAAGTAGCAAGAGTATTGATTTGTATTGGGGCTGTAATGAGAGTGACCTCTAGCAATCTCATGTAACATGTTCCCAGTCTGTCTCCTGCAGCATGTCTCCAACCAAACTTGCAACATATCCATGGTCTATGGTCATCTCCTGTAGTACATCTGCAGTCTCTGAGAGCCTTGTGTAGCATTATATATACTCACTATTATGTGTGGCCCCTTAGGAGGTGTAGAGGGCCTTAGCTGTGGTCCTTAAAATCACCACTGAGTTATACCATAGAAACTGTTGCGTTTTTCAGCTGTATTTATATACTATACAATATAACTGTGGTTGGTCAATAAATACGCAAGCCCATACCTTCAAGACGGTGGTGACCATATCCAGCTCAGACTGACCCTTCAGAGGAGCGTCTCCCATGAACCTCATCACAGCTGCAGGAAAAGGGAAGGTCAATATACAGCTCGATACAGATTTATCAATCACCTGACTGTCCTTGCAAACTCATTGGGCATTCAGGAAAGCAGAGTATGGGACCGACAAGGTGTTTACATATAATGGACATTGCGGTCTGAGGACATGTTCCATTTGGTGCAGTGAAAGGCGTCTCCAAATTGAATCCTTTCAGTTCAGCGGAAGTTCTGGGTCAACTTTATCTGGGTTTTTGGAGTCCTTGACACACTGCAGGCTCTACACCATGGCCTGCATTTTATGAATGGGCTATAAAATGCAGGATGCCAAGTGGCAGTAACTTTGTGGTGCACCCGCTTGCCATTGTAAACAATCGACCCCCCCTATAGTATATGTTGCACCACGAAAAAAAATTTTTTTCCCACTGGTTATCTGACCACCATTTCATTCACTCCGTCTAGAAGGCCAGAACAATGGGTGTAGCTTAGCTGCACCGCATGCCCTATACACAGAAGGCACTTAAGGTTGACAACGCCACCACTGCATTTTGAGCTGCTGGTTAAGTGTTGTCACCCCGTTTTAGGGAAAGCCAATACAGAAACTGGCAGGATCAACAGGTAGTTAGGGGGGAAAAAATACAACAAAGATTTAAGCACTATTACGATATTTAAGTAGTTTTATATTAATATCATATTTGTGCTGCTTTGTAATCTCACCTAGGAAGAGTTCAGAGGCGATTCTGTTCATGCTGCTGTCACTGAATTCAATGAGGGATTCCTGTATGGGGTTCTGTAAAGAGACGCCAGAGCAATTTATAGGTATTATAACAGTGATTGTGACTTTTGTTCAGGAAACTCAGTTCATTCTGAAGCCAGATGTTAAAAATCAAACAAAATTTTGAACATTGGTGAAGTCTCTGATGTCATTATTGAATGTTCTGACCAGATTTTTTTTGTATATGATTTAGTGATCCCGTTTTTTTGGTAGCGAGTACAAATATTTTGTTTTCGGTACTCGCCGATTCCGAGTACCGATACCGGTCCTTCTGCTGGCATAGAGCCGGCTTCCCAGGCAATCAGGAAGCTGGGAGGCAGGTCATTACTCACCATCCGGGGAGGCCGGCTCCATTTTCCCCTTCAGCACTGCCAGTCAGAAATCTTCCTCTGACCGGAAGTTCCAGTATCAGGGAAGGCATCAGAGTACTTGCGCAAATACTCGGTATCGGCACCGATACTAGTATCGATATCGGTGCATCCCTAGTATGAATGTTCATGTGAAAATCTATCCATATATGGCTAGCTGTAGACTGGCATTGTAAAAAGGAGCAGTAAAGGCACAACCACTGTGTAGCATAACAAAGCAGGAAGCAGAGTCTGAGTATATAATGAGCAAATATGGCTGCCCAATGTACATTCTGTATGTAGTTACATATTTTAGAAAGTAACTGGGTTGTTAAAACCTCAACACATTGTAACAACTCTGCAATGCAAGCCTAGGATCTCAACTGCGGAGTGTGTACCTCACGGTCTGTTCAGTAAGGGGTCTCGGCTTTTACTCTCTCATGAAATTAGAGCAGTGTGTGAGACATGTCACATCATTCAGAACCGTGGTATCAAAAGTTGTAGTTACTGGGGGTGACAGGGTTAACTGTGAGGAAGACACCCGGTGGTGAAGTATGGTACTGAGCACTATTGCTTAATCCACTATTTCCCCTTAGGTTAATTAAATCAATTCACAGATGATATATGAAGACAAGTACTAGTGCAATTTGTATACAAGGTTTTGCCTCAGGGAGTCCAGTATTACCATAGAACAATGCTACGTGGTGATAGTAAATGATCTACAGTCAATTCACACAGTTGCTTATATATGATATGACTAATCCAGTTTAAGCAATTGCAAACGTTATGGTTAATGGGAGAGTAGTAGCCGATACTTGCGGTTTGTGAGGCTTGCTGCTGCTGGCACTCCTAGTGGGTGTTTAGCTGATGCTTGGCTCCCGGGTGTCAGTCCCCCTGTGCTGGATGGTAGAGGATTCGGGGCTCCTTCACTGTGAGGGAAAAGCTGGCTGCTAGAGGTCCGTCTAATCGGTCTGCGCTTTGCAGAGCGTGAATCTTCGGCGTTCACTGTTGCAAACAGTAGGACGTCGAAGATTCGTGTGGCCGCGTCTTAAGAGGGCTCCTGCGCTTGCGCCAGGAGGAGCCACGAGCCGACGTGCGCGTGCGCTGAAAGAGGCAGCCCTGGCCCGTTGTGCGCATGCGCGGTCCCGTATCGTGATTCCGGGACGGGAGACGGTGAGTCTCTTACACACATATTGGTGGGTGGGTGAGGTTCGCACATCTCTAACGCCCCTAGATGGCGCTGAAGAGTATAGGGGAGCTAGTGCCGTGTGAACAGCATCCACCCAGCTATATGCTGGGCAGATGTTTTATTAATAAAGCTGTATGTGTTCTATTCAACCCAACAAGTTCATTTGGATCATTAGAAAGTCTGTGTCTCCGTCACCTTGGTAAATTTCAGCAGTTCAGCTGGATCTCTGGACTCCCTGCTCTTCTTTGAGCCTGGTTTGGAGGAATCTCTGCAATCAGAGGAATAAGAAAGATCATTAGTCTTGTCAGATTTGACAGGTTCGAACAACTTCTCTATCCGCAACTATAAAAGCTACACTTTAATACAACCTGCCCCCTTCCCACCACCATCCACTCAGCTCAACTTTGCCATTGCTCCATTGGATTCACCTGGTGCTTCTGGTTATGGTGGAGCATGTGACCTCCTCTGTTTCCTCCCAGAATGCAGTGCTAGGACCTGAGTGACCAATCTCCAGGCTGAACACTGTCACATGAGGGAGCGGAGCAAGTCCCCCACTCTGTGTAACCTCTGACACCATGCGGTAGGAAGCTTACACAAGAATAGGACTCAGACAACGGGCGAGGTTGAGTATATGTGCGTCGGAGTTTGTTCTTTCAAGAGACCCTGCTCTTTGAACGTGTCTTTAATTGTCATTCTTTCCAGCCAAGTTTCTATTGTTTTCCCCTCTCACTGGCATTCACTATCATGGTAAATATTATATTTTTGCCCTACTTATCCCGTCCTGCCCCAAGCACCAGCCAACAAGCCCCTTTAAATTAATATGTTCCTGATAACAGGGACAACTGAAGCTTGTAAAATGACATGAAAATGATTGAAAGTACCCTGAAGCCTTCTTCTCCTGCTCCTCCAGAGCCATTAGCCTCTGACCCTCCCGGAAGTACTTCTTGGCAAATTCCGCCATGTTATATGGACTGCCCTGTAACACAATCTCGGAGGTGGACGGGTCGGTGTACTCATCCAGACTTTCTGCATATTCACTGGGAGTGGGTGAACCCTGCATGAGAAAACCAAAGCCAAATGTTTTTTTTTACATTACAATTTATGAAAAGTATGCCCAAGTTAACTTTTGTTACTGCCAAGATCCCCATCCGGGGCTGGAGGCTGCCATTGCCTGACTCCTGGAAGTGGCGTACATCTTGGAGCTCTCTCCTGCTTCCAGCAGTGGTGGCCTGTGACAGATAGCAGCTGGACTCCATTTTAATGTTTTAACACCAGACAAAAAATGAAAATAAAAAAGGAGCTTTTGTTGCAATATATTAACTTTCAATCTAGAGCTCCCCATCCACGGTACTTCGCTACAAGATGCCCTCAGTCTGATGGTCAGCATCATTCAACCTACTTCCTCTAAAGCCCCGGGCATCCTGAACCCGCCCCCATCCTGTGATTGGACGGTGAAAGGACAAGCTGAGCAGGGATGAGCTCATCTTTCCTACATTCTCATCTCTCCTGTCAGAACATGAACTAACTGGGTCCTTGTACTGCTTCTTCCTCTCACACTCCAGCCTTGCTGTACAAGGACCTTTGCTAATAATGACCATATGCAAGTGTCACAGAGACGATATCAACCATATGCAAGTGGCATGGAGACCATATCAACCATATGTAAGTGTTGTGACCATACTGACCATGTGCAAGTGCCGTGGTAATCATATCGACCATATGCAAGTGTCACAGAGACCATACTTACCATGTGCAAGTGTCGTGGTGACCATACTTACCATGTGCAAGTGTCGTGGTGACCATATCAACCATATGCAAGTGTCATGGAGACCATATCAACCATATGCAAGTGTTGTGACCATACTGACCATGTGCAAGTGCTGTGGTGATCATATCGACCATATGCAAGTGTCACAGAGACCATACTTACCATGTGCAAGTGTCATGGTAATCATATCTACCATATGCAAGTGTCACAGAGACCATACTTACCATGTGCAAGTGTCATGGTAATCATATCTACCATATGCAAGTGTCACAGAGAGCATACTTACCATGTGCAAGTGTCACAGAGAGCATACTTACCATGTGCAAGTGTCGTGGTGACCATATCTACCATATGCAAGTGTCACAGAGACCATACTTACTATGTGCAAGTGTCGTGGTGATCATATCGACCATATGCAAGTGTCACAGAGAGCATACTGACCATGTGCAAGTGTCGTGGTGATCATATCGACCATATGCAAGTGTCACAGAGACCATACTGAACATGTGCAAAAGTCGCTGAGGATATATCGACCATATGCAAGGAAAGTAAGGTAAACCCTAACAATGAACTTGCCTGTTTTGGTCCCTTTAGGTCTGATAATGATACAACTGAAAGGTTTTTTATTAACTGTTTGATCACTGCAAAAAAGCCCCCAAAACTGTTGATCCTGCCAGAAATCTTGTTAGCCGATAAGTTCCTGTGTCCTTGCCTGTTCTGTGATCAGTTATATTGTTTCCAGCTATCTCCGAGGTTTACAGTACAGTACACCTTTCCTTGTTATGGAGACAAGGAAAAGGGGAGGCGTTGCGCAGTCCTGGTGGCCTGATACAAACCCAGGGAGAGTTGTCACCCTAGGACAGGAAGTTACTGGCTTTGCTACCATCCTCCGAAAAAGTGAAGACAAGCTCTAAAATGACTGCAACTTACATCTGTCTTCTTGTCAAATTCATGAGCCACAGCTGTCGACGCAACAGCTACGGCCACCGCCGCCGATGCCGCCGCTCGGCTCTGCCTGTTCTGCTGCTCCCCCTTCCTGTCGGCGGGCAGGTTCACAAAATCCGGAGCCGCGACCGGCTGCACGCACTCTGCCGGGAACAGCGCTGACCGACCATGGATGGCGCCGAACTTCCAACCTGCGGAGACAAAATATCATTAGATTCTGGTATCAGTGTTGCAATGTCCGCCCCTCTGCACTCACAGGAAGTGGGATGAATGACATTCAACGTAGAAGAGGACCGGTGTTCTATTGAAAGCTCCAACTCGTCGAAATCTCCAACTACCTCACTGCTGGGTACTTGCAAGTTGGAGATTTTGAGCAGACAGTGTTAGACTGCAAAACACAAAGACTGACGGAGCTCTGTACAGCTGCATGTTAACAATATTTGGCAGGTGGCAAACGAGTATTCTGAAACCGCTATGCGCGCAGTGCAACTGCACATAGCTCCAGTCTTTCTGAGCACCGGACGTGAGGTAGTTGGAAATCTCGATGAGTTGGAGCTTTCGATAGAACACCGGCACTGGACTCTCGCCAATGGGACACAGAACAAACAACAAAAATCAGACAAGGGTTTTAACCCTTCCCTATGCTATCTAAAATTAAAATGAAAAGGTTTGAGCTTATGCACTAATTCAGCTCGATGTATCAGGGCCTTGATGTGTCATAATAACATCAATATTCAAGCTCTTCCCCAATACCCGTATGGCTTAAAAGAAATGTCACCAAACAAAACTCGGGATGTCTAATGGAAACGGCACAAAAAGAGCAATCACAATTTGGGAAGGAAAAGACTAAAGGAACATGCAGAGATCAAGGAGCATGCCACGACAACCCACCAAAATCTTGAATGCCACGTTTCAGCTCCTCCAAATATATGACTTTCTTCCTCACGACGCAGCCATAGTTCTGGCCTGGTGAAGAATCCCATCGGGCAGCGTGAAAATTCACAGAAGACATTAGTGGGATGGGAAGAGTGCCGGTCCCATCATAATATAACGTGTACATTCTATAATAATGCAATGGGCCCATAAAGGTTATATGTACCCCTGCTGGGTACTCATAGTTCCCCCCCCCCCCACCCCCACTGACATTCCATTGCTGTGCTTTATATATATATGGCACTTACCTTTCTGTAGCTCCTCTAGATGCTGCAGGCGGATGATGTCTCCTTTATGGAAACTCAGGATACTATTGTCTTCCGTCACGTAATTCTGCACGGCCACCACATAATTGGAGTCCTGAGAATGCAAAGCAAAAAGTAACTGAAATATATCTTTTGCTGTACAGGTAATAAAAAAAGTATATATTACAGGTAAAAAAATACAGATAGCACTCCAGATAGTGGCAATATATAAATAAAAATAAAGAAATATAATAATAATAATAAATAAGAATATATATATGTATGACTATGTACTGTATATACACACACACACATACATATACCCATGCCATTATAACCTACCTTCTTCAGCTCCATCAGAAAGCTGTCTATCATACTTTTCACCTGGCTGGACCTCGAGGAGAAGAGAATCAGCTTCTCACTGGTCAGGTTGAACTCCAGCATGTTCTTAGACAGCACCGTCACAAACATGATATCTGTGTAACTACAACGGCATAACAAACAACTTTATTATTAAAGCAGTATCAGATAATAACAGCCCAGGGGGCGTAGCAATAGCCATAGCAGCCCAAGCAGCTGCTATGGGGCCTGGGGGTAGAAGGGGGTCCCATGAACGATTGTAGAAGCTGTTAACTCTGTACCCCCTGTGACATTTCCAATCAAAAAGAGCTGACATCAGATGTATAGGAAGAGAGTATGCGGACAGCTCTCCTGCTACCTGTTGTAGATTTAGATTTTAAGGGGTCGCCGAAGGTGCCCCAACAAAATTTTGCTATGGGGCCCCATGATCTGTAGTTATGCCCCTGTAACAGCCCATGCAAAAATGTAACATATAAAACTGTTTTTGCTGCAATACTAACCCTACATTTGGAGGTTTCCACGCAGTACTTCTTTTCCTCCACAAGATGTCCTCAGTCTATTGGTTTGAACGACAGCCAGTGTTTCTCAACCTACTTCCTCTGAGCCTAGGCTGTCATGTACCTGCCCCCAGCCTGTGAGCGGACAGTGAAAGGAGAAGCAGCGCAATGATGAGCTCACCTCTCTGTCAATAAATCCTGTTCTGGGTCCTGGAGCCCCGAGGCTTTGTAGAGCTGTGGGTGGGATAAAACCTCCATTTCTAGTCCACTTTGTACCTGGTAGCCAGATCTGAGGATTAGTCTCAGCTGTCCACAGGCCTATATACAGTATATGTGAGCTGACTGATGCTCAGGGCTCTCTCTCTGCCGCTGGGTGAAAAGGCTGAGTGCTGACAAAATCTAAATGAGATGCTTTACCACTGCAAGGAACGACGTGACGCTGATCATATAATGTGATTGCATTGAGTGACTTCATTTTAAAACAAAGACTGGACTTCTCCTATCCGGGTGGTTGGCGTGACCAGGCCAGACTGATGAATCTCAGCCCTTTTGCTGACCTGTAGCTGCGGAGGACTCTCAGTTGCTCGGGTGTATTGCCGCCGCTCTTCAGCATCTTCAGGAGCTTTATCCCGATGTGAGAAACACCAAGAATCTGTACACCGGTGCCAACACTACCCTGTAGGGGAAAGGCAAAGAGACTCATCACAGATCAATTAACATCACAGGGAGTCACTTGTAGATTTTAGACTTGTCATACTGATCTTTGATTGGTTACTGTGAGCAAGACTGGAATCTAATCTGACCGGTCCCCAGGGTCGAGGGCGGTCATGTGAGGATGTGGCTGATCTCATCAGCTATGTGTAAGCTCCAACACCCTCCGATACAGAGTTTACACAGGGTTTGATTCCCGACTTTGACTAAAGCTGGCCATACACTGCTTGAACGTTGAGTCTTGCTGACTTGGCCAACATTCGAGCTGTTGGTGGCCCTGCCAGCACCTCCTGGGTCGGCAGAATTAGATTTTTCAATCAACTCTTGTTGAAGGCTCCAGGCCACAAGCAGGTGCACTCACGGTTCAGGTGCACCTGCAGCTGTCAGAATACAATAGCCCGGCGGGGGAGATTCCAACATCCATGCTAAACAGGTCCATTCAGGTCTCTAGGTATAACCACATATCGTCCACTACCTACCCTTATCAGTCTCATCTGAAAGACTATACGCTGCTGCTTTCTTAGTTTCGCTGGGTGTTTTAACTGCATATACTTCCTATTTCCTTACCGCGGCTGGGAAGAGTCTGGAGAAATACACTTCCCACTCCTCTCGGGCGGCCGTCACAATCTTCTTTTTCACAGACTCATCAGTGATGGCGTTAATGGAGTCTATCCTATATTCAGCTGCAAATGGAAAAAACACACTTGTTACACATTCCGACCAATGATATGACCAGAATAAAAGGTCATAGAAAATTGCTTCATGTACAGTTTCTGAACGGTCACACATGTACTGTGTGTGCAGATGTTTTAAGTGTGCCAGGAAGACTTAGGGGTTTATTTATAAACAACTTGCACCCTGTGAAAATATGTAAATGTTCATTCTGTGCAAATAATTACAAAAAAACCTAACGTCTTTTATATATTTTTCTTTTGAGGCTGAATGTATTGGGAAGCAATACTACATTATGGCCACTAGATGGAGCTGAGGAGCATAGGAAAATGAATTACTTATTTCCTAGGCTCCTCAGCTCCATCTAGTGGCCATAGGAACATAGCCAAGGAGCATAGGAAATGTGTAATTAATTTTCCTATGCCCCTCAGCTCCATTTAGTGGCCATTATGTGGTATCGCATTCCCAATACATTCATCCCGAAAAGAAAATATAATAAGAACGTTCTTTTTTTTAAACATTATTTACACAAAACAAAACTTCACAAATTTTCGAAGGGTGCTGGGCCCAGCAAATTGTTTATAGATAGACCCCTAAATGTTTCTATTCTATATACACAAATTACAGAAAACGATACAACACAATACAATGCAGTGTTCTCTGGAAGGATATTCACTCTCCTCTGAGTGTTAAATGCCAGTCCTTGTGTCATAGCAACATCGTAACATAGAGGGTAAGGTTTCATAAAGACACAGGTCCATGCAGTTCAACCTATGTATATGTGTGTGGGTGTCCTGATACATCCAATAATTTGGGAGCATGCTATCTCTGTAGATCTGTAGATTCTCATTGCTAGTATATCTGTGCCATAGTACTGCACTGTATATCTTTGAATGGTGTTGTAATGTGGGTGGGTGGGTTGGCTGGTGTGCTGAACTTTGACTGCAGGTAACATGCTACCGTCACTGATCGGCTCCAATGACAAAGGTCCATTAAAAAGTCTACTTTCATCAAACAGGGGGGGTTTCCAATACATATGACCAATGTCCAGATGGGCTTTTTGAGTCTGTTGGGATCATTTTGTACCCATACATGATTGGACTGTTGTATGATTCAATCAGAATTGTTTCATTTGTATGATATTTGTGCCTATAGGTACCTTAGATAAAATATCCATCATTACAGGTACTCTTACCCAGCAGGGATCTCATTTTTTGTCTCTCCTCCTTGGTGATTCTGATGCAGCTCTCAGACAGGGTGTCATTGACCACCTATGATATTAAAGGGGACAACAATAAGTGACCCGTTCATGGTAGGTTAAGGATACCTCTGTGGACTGATGTCTTCTACTCATAGACATCACATGGTCATCTCCTAAAGCAGGTGAATTCAGCAGAAGAGGAAGAAGACCAGAAACTACAGTCATTGGTCAGGATCCGACTTTGACTTTTAGTTTTGGCTGGAGAGGGTAAGGGTCAGGTCTAGTATTGTCTCACTTCTTGGCTGGAGAGTGTAAGGGTCAGGTCTAGTATTGTCTCACTTCTTGGCTGGAGAGTGTAAGGGTCAGGTCTAGTATTGTCTCACGTCTTGGCTGGAGAGGGTAAGGGTCAGGTCTAGTATTGCCTCACTTCTGGGCTGGAGAGTGTAAGGGTCAGGTCTAGTATTGTCTCACCTCTTGGCTGGAGAGGGTAAGGGTCAGGTCTAGTATTGTCTCACTTCTTGGCTGGAGAGTGTAAGGGTCAGGTCTAGTATTGTCTTACTTCTTGGCTGGAGAGTGTAAGGGTCAGGTCTAGTATTGTCTCTCTGCTTGGCTGGAGAAGGTAAGGGTCAGGTCTAGTATTGTCTCTCTGCTTGGCATTGTGAAGTCTTACTGTAATTTTCTGTGCCACTGCCACCAAGACAGGAAGCAAGGGTAAATTTTCTCCTAACTTTTCTCCTAACTTCCTGTCCCAGTGACATAGTGTGCAGTGTTTCACGGGAAGTGAGTAAAAACAATGGGTAGTGGATATGATAACATATGGAGGCAGATGGGCATTGTGATGGAAAGTACACCATTAGGTGCCTGTGTTGGAAAGTACATCATTAGGATCCTGCTGAAGACACACTCTGGACGGATGTCACCTTGCAAAGAGCCTGCAAACACATTGATGGATATTGGGAAAAGGAACTAAAACCGTTTACTGGTAAAGGGGCCCCTGTGCAATATGGCTGCCAGCGATCCGGCAGGAAGGTCATTTCGACCTTTGAGCATCATGGGGCTCAATAGTGATTCTTCACCAGTTAGATCAACAGCCCCAGTTGCGCCGCACACAGATAAAAGTGAATGAAGCTCAGACATATGACACTCATAGGGTAATGCTTATAATGGAAGTAAGATCACAGATCCGCTCTGACTACAATAAAAAGCTGTTTTTACATATTCGTGCCAATTGGTGATGAGCAAAATCATGCCAAGGATAACACAGGGGGTCATTTATAAAAGTTCTGCACAACATATAGCCAAGTGAACGCCATTTGCACGGGACTAAGTGCCCCTAGATGGCGCTGCTGAGTATAGGACATTTCTCTAGTCATCAGTGCCACCTAGGGGTGCCAGTGCCATGTGAACGGGATCCATAGATGTGTTTAAATGAGAATCATCTGAGTGTATAAGTGTCTCACCTGCTTAAAGACCAGATCCAAGATGAGAGGGTTGTTGAAACTGTCTCTGGGATAGAACACCTGCAGAGTAATACAATACATAAGACGGTAGGCCTTGCATGCATGGTGTTAGGAAGAAAGCAACAGTTCTTGCAGTGTACACTTTTATTATTTAGCATGGGGCAGGGAGCTCAGACGGGGGAAAGGAGAAGCAACAAAAGGAGGCTGTCAGTTGTATTAAGCAATATGCAAGCAATACACTGATAGGAGAAGAGGGCAGAATGACAGAGAGATGACCTCATCAGTCTGCTGCTTCTCCTTTCAATGACCAGTCACAGGGTGGGAGAAGGACAAGACCTATAAGTCTTACGAAACTGCAGAAGACAAAAAATCAGATATTCTCCACTGCTCAACAGGGCTGTGCTATGTATTCTCCCCTGCTAGACAGGGCTGTGCTGTGTATTCTCCCCCGCTAGACAGGGCTGTGCTGTGTATTCTCCCCTGCAAGACAGGGCTGTGCTGTGTATTCTCCCCTGCTAGACAGGGCTGTGCTGTGTATTCTTCCCTGCTAGACAGGGCTGTGCTGTGTATTCTCCCCTGCTAGACAGGGCTGTGCTGTGTATTCTTCCCTGCGAGACAGGGCTGTGCTATGTATTCTCCCCTGCTAGACAGGGCTGTGCTGTGTATTCTCCCCTGCTAGACAGGGCTGTGCTATGTATTCTCACCTGCTAGACAGGGCTGTGCTGTGCAGCAGGGCTGTGTAAATCTCAGGACTGGATATACAGAATTAGAGAGCCTTCGGCAAGTAAAACTACTCCCTGGTCACCTACCCTATGCCCCTGCATTCAGCCACCAGGAGCAAAGAGAAGGAGCCCTGTGTAAGCTCTGAGTTGCTCTGGTTGGAGCTTACACATGACTGAGTATCCTTTATATCTCTTCATTCCAGGAGGCAAAACAGAGCATCGGAGGAGCAAAGGGAGGTAAGTATATTTGGCTGGGGTGGGGGGAGTTAAGTGGCCCCATGTGGTAGTCCAAGCTGGGTCTCCCTGAACAAATTGCTGTCCTCCAGGACAAATATGACCTGTCACCTCTTTCCGGATGTAGATCCTCCAGGACACATTGCTGTAGGTGTAGTACTCCTCGCTGTACTGCCGGTGAAGCTGAGTCTGGATGTTCTCCTGATCCTCCGACAACTCCCGTGAGACCGACACTAGAAGAGCAAATACAACAATATCTCTGACTGTCTCATCCACATCAGATCACACGTGTCATTGCATGTGGCATAGACAAGGGATTAATACAGGCGGTGTTTTTGAAAGCTACTTTTGATTCGCCAGCACACCCGAAATGCAGGTTTCAGGATGATGCAATGCAATGGGCTGGTGTAAACAGACAATAGCCGATTGACTAAAGGAGTTGAGAATCTTATGGCCTCATTCACACAGCTAAATGCCGGCCCGTACAGTTCTGTGCTTCGTGCATGGCTGTATCGGTCTGCTCCCGGGAAGGGCAGGTGCTGCGTGTGATTGCACACAGCAGCATGTTCTTCTCTATGGGAGTATGCCGCCGCATGCTCACCCGACCTGCACATCCGTGCGGGTGTCTGTACTCGTACACTGACAGGATGGGTCATGTCTGCGTCCGAGCACGGACACCCGCACGGATGTGCAGTTCGGGTGAGTGTAGGGCGGCGTTCAGCCGTGTACTCCCATAGGGAAGAACAGGCTGCTGCGTACAATTACACGCAGCACCTGTCCTTCCCGGGAGCAGACCGATATGGCCGTGCACACCGCACGGATCTGTACGGGCCGGCATTTAGCTGTGTGAATGAGGCCTTACTCAATATAATACATGGAGTAAAGATTCAAATTAGTTATTACCCTCCCATGCCTACTACCATGACCACATTGTGATCTTCGGTGGACCTTACTTTTCCTGTGGCTGCAAGCCTGAAATATGTACCAGAACTGCAGTAGCCACTCGACAGAGTGTTACCAGGGCATGCCATAGAAGGCTGCAGTTGGGATATTTAGACCCTCAAACACATTCTATGGACAACTGGCCTGCATGTCTTTGGAGTGTGGGAGGAAACAAGTACCTGGAGGAAACCCACATGAGCCAAAGGAGAACATGCAAACTCCATGCAGATAGTGCCCTGGTCAGGATTCAAACCAACGACCCCAGTGATGCAAAGCATAAGGGCTAACCACTAAGCCACTATGCTGCCCTTTCAGGTAGTCACTCATGTGAAAAGCAAATTCCTACTTATTTCTTTCTTCTGCCAATTGTGATGATGGGAATTTCATCCTGATCATCATGATTGGGCATTCTAAGTGAACTATAATTTACAGAGTGAAGATTCTCTATAATTCTTCAGCAAATCAACCCCACTGCATCTGGTTAGAAGACCCAAGCAGGAAGTCTACCTTCTGTCTTTACAACATTACCAAAGAACAATAATGTTTTAAAGCCCAATTCACTTTACACTATCCAGGTGCAACAAAAGAATGTTTATAAAGTAGACCCCCCCCGGCACCCCTAAGGGCTATTGTCAATGGGCTTTTGCACATGTCAGAACTGCTTCTCTTCTCCATACAAGTCTATAGAAATGCAAAAAATGCTTAAAGCAGGTCAAGTGTAAGTGAGAAGGAGATCAACTGTAGGTCAAATGCACCTATTAATGAGCTCGGAATGATCTCTGAAGCATTTTGAACTGATGTCAAAAGCATGCTGACCATTTGCCCATCAGCACAAGCCCGAAGCCCATTGACAAAGGTGCTAAAACAGCCTGCTCCCCCAAAGTAATCTGCACAAAAGGACTGCTGCTCCATGTGGGAGAGCAGCGGCCTCTCTGCAGAAGTATGAAACTCCCCCTATGTCTCAGAGCATGAGTTTTGCTGATCGCAGACTTCTTGCTTTGACTCAAAAGGGGTTTGTCAGACCATTGCAGAGAGATCTCTGCATACACACAGAGAGCAGCAGTCATTCCCTGCAGATTACAGAGGGAACAGTAAAACTTTGTACACGTAGGGCTTCATGTATAAATGTTCCACCCGGCTTATAGGTGACATTCGCATTGCATTATCTCCCCCAGATGGCGCAGACGAGTATAGGAAATTCCTATACGACGGGCGGAACTTTTATACATGAAGCAATTATTTTTTCTTACCCTGAATGGATATACACCATTTAATTATAATGATCAGTTTGGCTTTAATGAGTCTTAGTAATGTGTTGAAATAGTAAAGTAGGTCACCAGCACACGTGTTATGCCTCATGAAGGCACCCTGAGTGGCCCCGAAATGTCGCAATGTGACAAGATGTGTGTGACTTAATAAAATGATCACTGCTTGAAGATTGAACCATGGTGTTCTGGTGACATACTTTACTATTTGGATCTGCCATCCGCAGTCACTACAGCACCCACCACAAGGGACATACCAGTAAGGAGTGCAGTAGGACTCTTCTGCATTAGCAATGTGTTGGACACCCATGTGATCTCCTACCTGGAGGAGCCGTGGTTGGCCTGACGTGGTTGACGGGCAGTTGGCTGGCAATCTTCTTATTCTTGATGCTGGGAACAGGTTTTACCATAGCCACGGACTCTCTAGGAGGCTGGATTCCAAAAACAGAACAACCAATAAGAAAAAGTATAAAACCAATGAACAACTTTCCGAAAAATGCCTATTTCATGCTGTGCTTTATGGATACATCCGTCATCAGACAAATGCAGGACTGCCATCACTGGCCTGCTTCTGAAAATGCTAGTTGCCTGGTTGTCTCTGGCTTTCACATACATCACAGACCTGGTGTCCTATCTCCTGATGTCCCAGGCATCAGGAGATAGGAATTTCACACCCCTGCTGCCCGTCTACTCCGTGCTGCCCCAAGGCCGGGCCTTGGTTGGCCTTGTGGGAAAGCCGGCCCTGGATGCAAGTCAGAGACCCACAGTAACGAAGCCTAAAGATCAGTACGAAAGCCGGGCAAGTAGCATTTTTGATAGGAGATCAACGATTCCAAAGGAACACATTTAAGAGGCGCTGGGGTTTCTGTGCACACCCAAAATGTTCAGATGCAGAAAAATCTGCAAATAAGCTCACTTGGCGCTGGCAAGGTCACTCCCAAACAAAGCAGGCCTCCCTTCCTGGGTGACCAGAAGTGACTCAATGTTTAAAAACAAAGGCACCAAAACATGAAAGAGTACAAAAATGCCTTTATTGTTCATAATTCAGTGAAACTAATCAAACAGCCAACATGTTTTCGGGTCAACAACACTCCCCCTTCATCAGGGCCTAGAATGGGATAAGGATTTGACTGGACTTAAAAGACAACCAACCAAAGGGATCTCTATAAGCTTTGATATAAAGATCTCCTTTAGGGTTGAATTTTAATTGGCAGCAGCAGAAAACTTTTCATTCCGCAAGGAGATCCATTTGGTTATAGTACCTTCTACGTCCAATCAAATCCTTATTCCGTTCTAAGCCCTGACGTTGGCTGCTTTTTGTTTGCTTAAATTGTGAATAATTAAAAGGCATTTTTGGACTCTTTCAAGTTTTTTGTTTGGAGCCCTTTACTTCTGAACACAGGAATTATAATTTCGATCATGGTGATCCTATAACCTGTTTTCCGATTGGCAAATGGTTACCTTTGGGACGTAGGACATATTGGAAACCGGTGATGGGCCTGTCATTGGTCGGCTGCTCATCTGCCCTTTTAGGATTTTCATAGCTTCTTCATGGGGGTCCAGCTTCCGCCCAAATGCTCGTGTAGGCTCCTTCCTATATTTACCATATGGTAAGGATAACAGTGAGCATAAGTACTCTCAGGCTAAATACATCACTCTCTTTTAAGTTTACGCCATATGTAAATAAGCCGTCCTGTCGGTTCAACCAATCTTCCTATATATGGATACCATGTAACAAAAACAGATGCTTGGGAAATAGCTAAATAAAGGGTGTGATTATGATTAATATGACACTCATCTAAATGACAGAAGTCATTTGCGCGCTACAAACCCACATGAGTAGGGTACTGCAAAGGTGTTAGGCTTAACCAAGCTACTTAATACCCTTTGACACCACCACCAACACCAACGCCATAAGCACACCACAGAGTTGGTCTGGATTTAAGTCTGTGAAGGTTCTCATTTATCCGGGTCATGGTATATCTGTAAAAAATAAGTCAAGGCAACTGGACATTTCATCTGACCGGCTTTCTCAATTCAGAATGACTTGTACAAAAATTCTCTGGAAAGAAATATGGTGAATGTCGCTCCAATCCACATCATCTGTTAGTCACAACCAGGTGTTGATCACATTTGCATTATTGGAGCTAGGACATGTTATTAACCCGCTCAGAGAGAGGTGTTAAAACTGGGCAGGTTAATAACACATCCTAGCTACACTTATGCAAATGCAATCAACACCCAGTTGCGATTAACAGATTATGTGGATTGGAGCGACATTCACCATATTTATTTCCAATTCAGAATGGCAAAGCGCCATTGCTCCAAACTGTCCAAATCAAAAAAAGAAAAAAAACCCATCAATCTCGATGCCTCAGGAGTGTCGAGCAAGGGAGGGACAGGGAGGCTCCTCCCTCCCTCAAACTAGCCTGGTGACTGGGTTGGGGCGGGGCTTCAACAGATTGGGGGGCTTCAGTGGGCTGGGGGCGGGGGTGGGGAATGCCTCACCCACATCCGAAGGTACCGCACATCACTGGTCTGCAGGGTACTAAAACCAAATCCTATATTTGCCCTCTTTAACTAAGACCCCCAGCCAGACCACACCACATCTTTGGGGACGAACTCTGACTGTAACTGGAAGACACAACGTATGCACATTTTCCCAACTCCGACATTACTAAATAAAGAGGTTTGAAGATTAGGCACTAGAGGGAGCTGTTGGGATAAGATATCATCTGCATAGGGAGTGCATTGTTTTTAGAGAGTCGGCCAACTCATTGATTTGTATTGTGAATGGAGTCATAAAGGACAACCATTATGTAGCATTGCAAAACAGGGAGCAGAGCCTGAAAAATGTAATGAGCAAATTTGGCTGCCCCTTGTAGATATATAATTATAAATTATAAAATGATTAGTTAGAAATAACTAATCCCTGTTACGTGTTTCTCTAAAACTACACATTCAAAAGCCTACGCATTAAAGTTTTAATAAGAGTGACTATGTGATTTAATAAACTGTTCTTAGAGGAACACTGATGAAAGATGGAACATGATCACCATAGTAAGGAGAAGACGTAGATGTGACCGGATGGTCTTTGATATTATCACAAATTTCAATGACCTCAGGGTATAAACAGTCTATAAAGTTGCTAATACAATAGACTCACCTTACAGGTATAGGTGCGGGCCGCACAGCGCCTGGCTGCTTGTACTGACTAATGATATCCTTGATGTTGTGTGAGGGTTCAGGAAAATGCTCAGAATTCAGAGTGGAGTGAGGAATGAGTTCTTCTGGCCTCATACGGGTAGAAGGACCTAAAGATGGAAAGTGTAAGAACAGATCGTTGGAGACAGACATAAGGATGTTCACCGGTATGAGATGGCAAGCAAGGGGGGTGTTCGTGTTACAGCCGGCTGATGCCACTGCCTATAATGTCAACCACACAAATGAATCAGAGCAACAGCAAAAAGAGGATCCCACTGGGAAATGGTGGAAGGTGAGCCCAGCTGGGTGCTTCACATTGGTGTCTGCTCTGATCTGCTGCCAGACAGTTTAATAAAAACTTGTCAGGACTCCAGTAAATACTCACTGGTTCTGCAGCACTTGTTGCTTGAATGACCAATTAACAGACCCGAGCACTGCCACATGTGGACCAAGGAGCACCCTGAAGTTAAAAACGCTATATGGCCAAAAGTATGCCGACTCCACTCCAAATGATTGAGTTCAGGTTATTTGTTTCCCCGCAAAGAGCACTATTGATACTACTGAGACAATTGCGCCCTTCCAGTGTTGTGGTAACAGTTTGGTGAAGGTCCTTTTCTCTTCCAGCATGACTGTCCCCTGTATACAAAGCCAGCTCTATAAAGACATGTTTTGATTAATTATGTGTGGAGGAACTCAAGTGGCCTTCACAGAACTCTGACCTCAACCCTACTGATCACCTTTGGGATGAATTGGAATGCCAAGTGCAAGTCAGATCTTCCTGCCAGCATCTGTACCTCCCCTCACAAATACACAAATTCCCACACTACAAAAAATTATGGAAAGCCTTTCTAGAAGAGTGGAGACTGTTAAAGACATAGGGGGCCAGTTCCATAATAATGTTTTGGAATGGGGTGTCCAACAAGCAGATTAGGCTATATCACTATGAACTCGCCAGGCTGAGTATACTAATTACAGCATGCACCAAGGTTTCATCTGCATGGAGTTTGCAAGTTTCTCCCTTATATTTGTGGTTTGCTTTTTCACCGTAGGCAAACTTACCTGGCCTTTGACTGAATGAGCCCTCTCTGGTGGGGGAGGTACGAGTCCTGTAGGGAGGTGATCCATTGACAGAATTGTTCTATAAACAGAACAGAGATATATGTTATTAATAATGTCAACATAAGTGAGAATTATTTTTGGAGTATACAGGGCCTCAGTTATCCGTGTAAGCACTTTCATCAGATTCTTCCTTTAGTTTTCCAACCTTTATTGGAGACAATTAGTGGCTATAATTTGGTTGCCTAGGCTAGATATACAGTCTACTCACAGACACTTTATATGTGAGGGTTGGAGGCACAGGAAGAGAATTAGCATTACCTGGGCTGGTACCCCAGTCCTTGGCATTGGAGCCACTGTTGGAGTCACTCTGTATGAACTGCCGCGACTGGATGGAGTGCTAACGCTGGGCTGAGGCCCTGTGCCAAGTGGGGGCTCGGTCGTAGAGCTGTTAACCATTTGTTGTTGAATGGCCATGGCCTGCAAGGTCATCTGCTGTGCCTGGAGAATGGAAGATAATATGGCATCAGGTTTACATTGGCTTGGAATACAAAATGAAGGTCACATATCACCTATGCTTGGGTTGGAATACAAAATGAAGGTCACATATCACCCATGCTTGGGTTGGAATACAAAATGAAAGTCACATATGACCCATGCTTGGCTTGGAATACAAAATGAAGGTCACATATCACCTATGCTGGGCTTGGAATACAAAATGAAGGTCTGATCTCCTCTCCAGTCCCCGAATGCAGGAAGTGGTGTATATTACATCACTTCCGCATTTAGCTGTCATTCCCAGCTACAGAAGCTGGGGAGAAGCTGGTGAAGCAGATCTCGGCTTCATCAGCTTCTCTGGGGGCCCCTAGGTGAAATTAGGGGTTTTGGTGACCCCTGATGTCTCCATAAAGAGGACCTGTCATGTAAATTGGCTATCACATAAGGAGCTTCTTATCCCCCTATGTGATAGCAATAAAGTTAAGTGTAAAAAATAAAAAAAGAGTAATAAAAAAATGAAAGCATAAAAAAGTGAAAAAACACTACATTGTTTTAAGTCCCCCACCCCCCACTTACATACACACACATGCGTCGGGTGCGCCTACGTGCGAAAACAACGATTTTGCCTATTATGTCGCACATGTTACATATCGCCGCGAATGTCGGAGTGAGAGCAATAATTTTAGGGCCATTAATCACTGATAACGCTAAACTGATGAGCAGTAAAAGCATTTAAAGCGTTGCCTATGGCCAATTTTCGGTGTGGTAGTTTTTTGTGATTTTTGCGGGCGCGCGCAATTTTAAGGCTTGACATGTTTAGTGTCTATTTACCCGACGTGACCCCATCGATGTGACCCTACGTATTTTATCTTTATTCAAACCAATAGAAATGCATTATTGTACGATACACTCACCAGTATCATGGCTTGCTGGTTGATATAAGCTTGTTGTTGAGTGTACCTACTTGGATCCATACCTGCAAAAAAGGCAACAACCCACATAATATGATGTGTACAATATATACAAACAATATACCCCTATCCTGTACAGTTTTTCATCTCTAACCTTTAGTGAGCAGGACAACAATTTGGGGTGTATTTATTAACTATCCACAGGGCCCTTCACCCTGCAAATATCTGTGATTGTTTGTTCTGTGCAGATATATGCCAAAACAAATGCTCTTAAGTTGTTTCTATACAGGGCAATGTATGTTTGATTTTTTTCATGTAATACCACATTATGGCCACTAGATGGCACTGAGGAGCATAGAAAATAAACACTTTTTGCCAGTGCTGCTTTAGCTCCACCTCGTGTCCATAATGCGGTATTACATGAAAACATTCAAACATTTTTTGCACTTGTAAAGAAAATAACCAAAGAACATTAATTTTGGCATATATCTGCACAGAGCGAGTGTTCACAGGTATTTGCAGGGCAAATTGTTTATAAATAGACCCCTTTGTGTTATGTTTCTACTATAACCATTATGGCGGGGTTTAGACTTCATGCTAATACGATATAACTGAGAATACACACAAAACATATACTGACGACATTCAAACTCAGGACCTCAGTGGTGTAAGGGAAGCATGCTAACTCCCACGAACTATATTAATGGACCACTATAGCAGTGGCGTCACAAGGGGGGTGCGGGGGTTGCAGCCCACATCCGAGTGACACCATTGGGGGGGTGACACTGAAACGATTGACAGTCATTTTGGTGTCACCCCCTCAGAGAAGTCAGGCACTCGGTCATGGACCCAGAGCCTGACAGTTGCTCGAGAGAGGAGAGGACCTGGCGGCATACCTTATCCTGCCGGGTGAATGTCCTACTCCTCTCTCTGCTGGCGTCCATCACCAAGATGGCCGGCGGCAAGAAACAGCGCGTGACGTCTGTAACGGACCCCCGTACTCAGGATTAGTATGTCCGCCGCTGTATTCTTCCTTGCTGAGGAGATATTGCAACCTGAAGATCCTTAGCTCCCAGTTTCCCCAGTCATTGGTCGAGACTCGAGAGTAGGGTGAAACAAACTCTGATTTATTGATCAACTGTGCAACTTTTTATACAGCAAGTGATGAGATCAGATTATAATCCCATCACATCCACCCTCCCCTCCCGGACAATCGGTCTGCTCAACACCACAGGGTTTGCCCTGCTAACAAGCTCCAGACAGCCATAGCAGGAGACCGGCCAGAATGTCATTGTTCTGAGCTCCTTCAGAGAACAATGGGAGATAATGAGGATGGGGGGTGCTGACAGTCTTTTCATAAACAGGTTACACATCATTACACACTTAACTAGAACCCAACACCAATACACATATAACTCATAAAACTGATTACCATGTCGTCACACGCATGTGCTGTGGCGTCACACGTGCGCAATGACCTCACACGCATGCGCGGTGATGTCACAGCGGGGTGTCACCCCTTCACTATAGGGAACAGTAATGCATTCTGGTAACTGTATGGAATGAATTTAATGTAATGTAACGACAGCATTCAGTATAGGAATTGCCTTTCCGTGTCACCAGCCTTTATTGATATTTTTCTCCACCTCGCACGCCAAGCTGTCCAGCAAAAGTGATAACTGTAACCACGTCATATGCTGCCAGGGGTACTTACAGTGGTCACCTTTTATTCATGAGGTTTACACTCATGAAATAAACAAAGCTGTTTCTGTAACTGCTTAAAATATATTAGCGGGGGTTAGAATTTACCTTGCTCCCCGTTTACCTTAGGTCCATCTAATACTACATGTCCTTGTAAAGGTCGACATACATGTTACAATCTGACCATGACACCTTAGTGTAATCAGCTTTAGATTTGCCCAAATTATTTAACATATGGACCTACCTAATGTAGCCAATTAATGTGTATCAAGTCAGGCAGGCCCTTGCACAACAACGTTGTTGGTAGATCTAAAGGAGCATTAGATTATAACATGTGTACTGAGTTTAAGACTATCCTGTCCAAAGGGTGACAACCCCACTGTGTGATTTCACTGCAGAATGAATGGCGTTGTCACTTCATTAAAGAAAGTGGAAAATCAATAGATCTAATGTCAGGATCAACAGGAAATAAAACTATGTTGCAGGAGAACACATTATTATTTGGAAGGTGAGTTGGCTGACGGGGTACCACATCTCATACTCTTCATATCCAAATTAACTATAGAGCAGCACGGACATTTAAGATACCCACCCAGATACAATGAGTGGAATTTATCAAAGCTGGAGCAGACAAAAACTGGAGCTGCTGCTCTTTCATTTTCAAACCTTAAGTGAACAAACTAAAGAGAGATGCTGATTGGTTGCCATAGGCAACTGTTTCAGATTCTTCTGCTCCGGTTTTGATAAATGCCCCCCAATGTATATATGTATAAAGAGACACAATTTATTTATGTTGCAGGGCAGACAACTACGATACCAGTTACATAGTTGGATCATATTTGTCATTTATTTCTTTTCCTATCGTTCAACTTTAAAGCTTCTTTTTTTTTGCTTTATTTTGTGTAAAAGAAAAAAAAAAGAGTGGAATAAAACAGCCAATAAAAGTACTGAAGCCACCGGATCATCATGACAGCCATGGGACTAGTATTTCCAAAAGGTAAAGGCTGGCCATGTCAGCATTCTTTGCAAGTTCAAGTTTTTATTTTTTTGAAGACCATGATAACGTCAGAGCGGATTCCGGCTCACCTGTACGGTGGGATCCTTCCTCCGGCATGTTGGACTTTCCTGGGACCTCAGCGCCATCCCTCCCTCCAACACCCCCTCCGCCCTTCATCTTCTGGGACATGGCCGTCAGCTTCTCCAGATCCTGCAGAGGAAGAGAGGAGAGGCCGGGTAAAGAGGCGGCTGAGCCCGACATGGGTAGAGTGAAAAGTGATCTCTGACCAAGAGCGAGCACAGAGAGAGATCAGGTGACCGCCACACGAAAGCCGCAACAGCAATCTTTCAGCACGACATATGGCCAATGAGCGCCGGCAGTACGAGAACCAGAATAATGTATCCACAGCTGCTAATCATATGTATAAAAATGTGTATGATACCCAGACTAATGTATCCAAAAGTTCTAATAATATTCATAAGAATGTATATAATGACCAGAACAATGTATCTAAAGCTGCTAATCTTATTCATATGAGTGAATAGGATAACCAGAACAATGCAATGTATCCAAAGCGGATCATATTATTGATCAGAATGTAGATGATAATCAGAATAATGTATCCAAAGCTGCTAATAATAAACGTAAGAATGTACTGCATATGACTAATAAAATTTACATTATCAGAATGTATATGGTAATAATATTCATATGAATGTATATGACTAATAATATTTATCAGAATGAATATGATAACCACCAGAATAATGTATCCAAAGCGCCTAATAATATTCATTCACACAGACACTGAGTAGGGATGGGCTCGGGCCTGTTCGCAGCTTCACGTGCTGAGCCTGCCAGGAAGCTGACAGCGCCGCAGCGCCAATCACAGGTACTGAGACATTATCCCGGTCCGCAGCTGCAGAGATCGGGAAATGTCTCCGTGCCTGTGACTGGCGCTGTCAGCTTTCTGGCGGGCTCGGCACGTGGAGCTGCGAACACGCCCGAGCCCATCACTAGGCTGGGCACACACCTTACAACCATCGCAAGACTTTTGTCTTGCGATGGTTGTAAGGTACTTAAAAAAACGTACGATCTGCCTATGTTGCATAGGCAGATCGTACTTGCGATGATCACAAACCACGCCCCCTGAGGGGCGGGATTCCGATTACCGCAATGCCGAACGGGCAGTGTGCGCTTGCGCACACCGGCCCGTACGGCTGTTATCGCACGGACATGCCACAAATCCGCCGAACATCGTACGATGCTCGGCGGGTTTTCGAACATGTCCGTAAGTTTAAAGTCGTGCGACCTTACAGTAGTAGAGGTCGCACGGCTTCCACACACCTTACGATCATCGTACGATCGCGGGATTTCCCGCGATTATCGTACGATAATCGTAAGGTGTGTGGGGACCCTTACACTGAGATCCTGGACAGACCTTGGTCAGTTCTATAAAGTTCTATGCAGCCTTTTGCTTTGTACCGGTGTTCTATCGAAAGCTCCGACTTGTCGGGCTCTCCGACTGGGCACGTCACATCCGGTGACTGCCAGTAGGAGATGTACAGCAAATGGAGCTAGTGCGCATGGGCAGAAAATCGTTGTCGAACTCTCTAACTGTTGCCACTGCGCCTGCGCGGCTATCGGCTCATCGGCTTCTATAACCTAGGACAAATATAACTGTAGTAGGTTGTAGAAGTGGATAGGCGCAGTGGCAATAGTTAGACAGTTGGACAAGGATTTCCTGGGCATGCACACTAGCACCATCTACTGTAGGTCTCCTACTGGCCGTCACCGGATGTGATGTCACCAGCTGGAAAGGTCGACAAGTTGGAACTTTCGATAGAACACCGGCCTTAAAATCATTTTCAGGCCTCAAGGAACCTCCTTCATAAAAATGAGCATATGTACAGCTCAAGGTGCATTAGCATGATCAGCAGGTTGATGATACAGTAATACCTTGGTTTACGAGCATAATTCGTTCCGGAAGCATGCTTGCAATCCAAAGCGCTTGTATATCAAAGCGAATTTCCCCATAGGAAATAATGGAAATTCAGATGATTCGTTCCACAACCCAAAAATATTCGTATAAAAATAATTACAATACAGTACTGTAATATAATACCGTACAAAATATAAAGAAAAATAAACCAATTACCGGTACCTTCAAGAGAGAGGAGGATTATTGTGTAGGGCGACTTTCACTAACGGAATCACTGATATCTCTTGACTCAATGGAATCTTTTTCATTTCGTGAAACCTTAGCAAGGAATCTATCCAATGGGACATTGCATTGTCGTTAAACAGACTCAGCGCTCGCACTGTTACAGCATTATTCGGGTGGCGCTTTTCTACAAAATTTTGCTCTTATTGAAAGACATTGCTTGTATATCAAGGCAACATTTTTCAGAAATGTTTGCTTGTCTTGCAAAACACTCTCAAACCAAGTTACTTGTAAACCAAGGTATTACTGTATAATAATCCATTTTTAAGTGTCAATGTTCCTTAGAGTAAAGAATGATATTTTCCGTAGATCGCTTTATTTTAGCCTTTATTATTTAACAGATAAATGAACCTAGTTTTTTGTTTGCCCCCCCTTTTAGTTATATATATATAACCGCCCCACCCCACCCGCCCCCCTCC